TACTACAGGGGATTATCCCATAAGCATTGTATATATTACCCGCAATAAAATCCTACAAAACGATCATTATACTATGGGACGGCAACACTAATGAACATTTTCCTTCCGAGTGATCCAAGCCCTTCACATCGCACTGTAAACAGTGGCGTCCGTGCGATATTATCTCTAGCTACCTGCGTTATTCATCGCCTGGGTGCCGTAAGCCGCCTCAATTGCGTCACATTTTGCTATAACAGCTGCATTTCCAATCTTTGCGGGCACTCTTGGCATGGCGGTGGCGATTTGATACGAAAGGATCAATAGTTGACAGGCAAGGAAAAGCGCGGAGTGTCTCTTTTGTTTATCGTGCATTTTATTCGCGTTTCGGTAATGTGCTGTTGTATGAGAGAACGATCAATATCATGGACAACTTTGTTCCCATACGTTCTTAGTTTTCGACGTGTGGCAGGCGAGCCAGTACTTGACGCTGTTATTCTCACATTAAAAAATACCAACATCAAATACAAACAAACTAAAGAACTTTACTTACAATCAACACCAATTTTATAGTAAAGTTTGGGTTAGCCGACCTATGTCATTATCATGTCCCGATAAATTCATTTAGTTTCAAAATATTCAAAAACATTTTTCAATGTATTTAATTCATTGACCGGAGATTTTTTAATGTAGCGTGCGTTTCCTCATACAATTAGGTTTAAATATTGTCAATCTAAAGAATCATGATCAAAGGATTCACGTTATGCCAAAAAGGCAGTAACTGGCAATTTATAGCGTTTCACCCACTGCATGTGCCGTGAAACACCTAAAACATTTCTTTCTTAAAAACACGTTTATTTTTTCTTTTTTTTAGAACATACTAAAAGGACCTGCCTAAGAAATGTCAATACATGAGCCTCATTGGTAGGAATCAAATGAGCTATTGATCGCCTCTGTAGATACCAAAGTGGTTCAAGTATTTTATGCAAAAAACACACTTTTGTGGAGAAATTTCTGTAAATCTTCTGGATGGATCAAGAAAAAAATCATCAGTTTCCCATCAGGAGATTCGGATTGATATAACCATGACTGACCGACGGACGCAGGTTACTAGAATATAATATGTTTATTGACATAACACTGATATTCGATCCATCCCGCGACAAGCGGTCTGATTGGGCAATGTTACCATCTATATTATCACTGAACGAACAGCAGTAACACACACCGAAAACACTGGCACAGGCACTGCCAATAATTTCGGTACATGATAACACGCATACCAGAACGGATGACTCAGACAACCAATAATTAAAATGGACAGATTGACAATGACAGTGGCAGTAGTATTTTCACCGATACGGATACAGCCACTCCCCCGCCGATACCCTCACCGTGACACTAACGTTGGGAAACTAAACTTACACTGACAGATCGACAGTAACAATCGCAAACTAACAATGAGTGACTTACAGACACATTGGCAGGGTGGTAGTGACACTAACGATGGCAGTGAGGCCCACGGCACAAAATTACAATTGTACCGATTGTAAATAACGTTGAGCTAAATCATACAATGACTGAAGACCGCGAGACCGAAAAGGAAACAGGGCCATCTGGAATCTCAATGTTGGTTCATTGCAATCGTTCACTTTTCATATTCATAAAAATCTGTGATACGTTTATAAATAAGATGTCAGTTTGCTACAATTACCAATGAGTTTCAAACTATGTCGGATGCATGTGTTCTCAGCAGCTTCGTTGAAAATATTGTCTTACACAAATCTATCTCCGCCCTCGCGTACTGTTTACAGTTATCCGAGTTTTCTTTTCTCACCATTCTGAGTAAATTACTACAGCAATTCTCATGCCAGTCTTCCAGATAGATGCTGAGAGTATACAGAATTCAGTCGGAAATCAACACTGATTGATGTGGCGGAAAGGAACATTTGAAAATAGGCATGGATTTTCCCAATGCTCAAAGGCAGTTCACAAAGTGCGCTGTTGGTCCCACAGATTCCCTCGGGGACAACGCTTTTCGTTCTCCACTAGATCAGGCACCGTTGAGAAAAGGATGTGTCCCGACCAACTTGTGTCGCACTTTTGTCCGCACTTTCACATCTTATCGTGAGCATGCACTTAATGATGCACGTTTAACAATTTTGCGCACAGCCTTTGTACGGAGGTCATTTAATAAATAATGCAGCTTGGCAACACTGCCGACTAGGACGCGACCGCACTGATTGTTGCGTCACTTGTATTTCAAATTTTGAGAAAGAAGCACGTGTCTCGGGGTTTCATCGGTACTGCGAGTGTTGATCAAAGATCGTATTTAAGATCGAAACTTTTCGGGGTAAAAACCCGACTGAAATCAAGAAAGCTTCGGATGAAGTGTGCGGTGAGCCGACTGTGGTCCGTAATAGTTTCTCGTTGGGCTAGCCGATTTCTTGAAGGTCGTGTGAAAACAAATGACAAGACTGGGAAGACCCAGAACATTGACAGATGAACGAAGCGTGAAACTTGTGACAGTTGTTATTGAAAAAATCGTCTTACGGCATTTGAAAAAAATCTGAAGCCATATGAATTTCAATATTTCCTAAATTGTCAAATGATTGACATTGAAAAGGCAAAACCCAAACCTCAGTTGCTCGACCATTCTGGGTCACTCATTCTCCTCCAACACGGTTCATAAAAGTGTCACAACATGCATCCTACAATCCAGTTTAGTCCAAGTTTTTTTTTGACTTGGTACCAAAATTGAAAAAACTTCAAGGACGTTTTCACATCTTGCTGAGCTTTCTGCAGCCATTACCATTCATCTGATGAACAAAGAAGGGGTATTTGATGGAATTGTAAAGCTTCCCAGATGTTGGACTCGGCAACTGAGGAGAATGGAGATTACATTGAAGGATTCTAAGAAGAGATTTTTTCAAAAAAAAATAAAGTAAACATATAAGAAAATACCAAATACTCTGCATTATTTATGAAATAGCCATTGCATAACTCACTATATACTCGCTGCATCACTGTATACTCAACTCAAGCATGAACATACGTAAATATAAAATGCACTCAAGTTTAAATAATTTCAACTTCACAATGAGAGCATGCTATTACTTAAATTTATACAATATTTTTCTTCTATTTTTAATTGTATAAATAATAATTAATATTTCTTTAGGCATTCATTTACTTCTTTCATCTGTAAGTGAGCAAATATCTTCCTTTTTTATGGAAATAATCGTATTGCACAACATAAACCATAAGCACACGATGTGGCAGAAATTTACTATTTTTTTTAAAACTTTCATTCCTATTAAAAATAGTTCAACAAAACTCTAATAAGGATGTTGGGCAGTTCTGTCACTTTTGAAGGTGCTATGATTGGAGTCTGCATGAATTTAACCACAATTTTCTAGAATTAATGAAATGATAAATTTTGCAGTGAGATGATAAGTTCAAGTAACTGACACTTATTATTCAATCTCCACCTATTCTTCCTTAATTCACGCCTAATCACAAAATAGTCACAAGACAAATGCACACAAAAATATCTTAGGAATATACCTAAGATAATTGAAAGAACTGCCTTATTTCAAATATCTGTTACCATGAATTAAAACTAACCACCATTGTCTACAACTGAAACACAATTCAATTTTTATTTTCACTTACTCATTTTAGAAAGATAACTGAAAATCCTCAAGAATAACAGAACATCAGATTAAAAACAATGACGTATGTCCTCTTTTACATCACACTCCTATGACACATAATTGGAAAAGTTGGCTTTCCTTCATTTATTTCATCTGTGAAAGATTTTACCCTAAATCCACACATCAGGATTAAAATGCAAGTTAGAACTGTTATAGTTATACAAGTCATAGATCAGTGAATTCAACTGCATAAAAGAAAATTCTCTATTTCAACATATCTCACAGCTAATTCATAATTTTTGCCTTTAAAATGAAAAAATATATGAGATCATGTGCCTACAGTACACTGTGATCACTATCACCCAACATTTCCTTAATGAATAAGATATATCACTTTCATCATAACATTTTACTCAAGACAACTGTTAAGAACTTGGGTTTAGATAGGTTCAAAGTTTTATCAGGAACAATAATTATCAAATTGTGAAAATTGCATTAATTTCACAATTTTCCAATTTGTGAATAGTCTTAAGAGTAGTGACATGCAAGTAGAAACTCCTCTAAAAGTGCATTTTAAAATAGGAAGAAACAAATTAGTTAAGCTTACCTACGGCAGGTAGAGTTAAACCCAACCTTTTACAGTACTAAATTTATACCCGATTTTCAATACACAATTTTTTATTTGTTTTAAATATCTTGTGGCTTGTCAACATCTTTTCAAATAATTTATTTTTTGGCAGTGTGAATGTGTGTCATATGTTCTCAAATTCCCAAAATGGTTAAAATTTAGTATACGGTACACCCTTAGAGAAGCGTGGCAGCAGGGCTTAAGCCCTAATTACTGTACATGCTCTAATAGAAACGGAGAAAACTTACGGATAAGTGATTTTCATGGTTCACCCTTCATATACTTTGTCCCCACCGCATTGTAACGACAATTTACTTTCAAAGGCAAGTTTCCTCGCTTCGCTCGCCCGGATCCAAGTCACGGTGAGGCTCAAGTCTTCGGCCCTCGTGTTCACTATAAACATCCTTGAGTCTATCCAACGCACTACCAATTCTCTTTTATAAGACATCACTTTTCAAGAAAAACTCCAGAATTCTAACTGCCTAGTTAACGCTGGAATGGCCCGAAGAGCCAGTTTAAACGACCTCCTTAGGTTGTACCGTATACTACATTTCAGCCCCCAAAATAATGTAATTAATTCAGTAACATTTTCTACATGTTTTCTTACTAGTGTTTTGTTATATCAAATTTCAATTTAAAGAAGTGACAATATTGCATATTGGTAAATCTGATGTTTAATTCTTAAAATAAATTATAATTTCTCTAATTCTACTTTTAAATTATTAATCAAATATATTTACAGATTTCTTTGGAGGTGTTGATGGACTTTCAGAGCAGTTTACTTTCAATGTGTCACCTGAATAAGGAGGTGATCTTGCAAAACCATTTTGTTGTACAAGTAACCGTCTTTCATAATCCTGATTAAACATCTTGAATAAAACAGATGTTCACCATATACAATATCTGAAATCAAAAAAGACATTCATAAATAGCTGGTATTTAATACACATCTTTTCAAATTAATTTCTTTAATGGAAAAATATTAGCCAAATCAACACCCACCTATGAACTGTCTGTATAACAATTTATTAAAAAATTAATATGAATTCATATTATAAATTTCTTCTTCGAAAGAGAAATATCAACAAAAACCATAAAATTCTTATTCTCCCATTTAACAGCAAAATGAAAGCATCAATTTTCACATAAATAATTTTCATTCTTTTCTGCTTTAACTTTTTTTCTTACTCAACTAAATTTGAAGTAATAAATGAAGCATTTTTATTTCAAATTGTGACATAGTCCTCGTTCACACTTTTTTCTCTCTCCTTCGTATCATTTTTTTTCTTTTCTTTTTCCATTAAAAAAATACATTATTACTAATTATGTCAAAAATGTTTCATTTTCCAGCAACTTCACAGATTTGTAAAAGACATGTTCCAACATGTCTTGATTACTGTAAGAAGTAGGTTACAACAAAAGTAATTCTTAAAAATTTCATACAAAGTGGTTCTCATAATAAACCAAAAGCATCAGTACAAAACTTCGGGATACGTTATATCATCCCCAAGCAAATTATCATGATGGCCATGAAGAGTAAATTCATATATTCCTATAACAAATAATTCATTAAATGAAACAAAATTGGTACTTACATTTTAAAATTAAATATATAAAATATTTCTCCAAACACTGATGAATGTGGAAATAAGGCCACCAAAATAAAGTCAAAAGTTCTCACAACACATCACTCATTTTATCATAAAATGATATATAAAAATAACTTCGAAAATACTAGAGTGTTAAAACGACAGCAAAATACCCCGAACAGAATATAAAATTAAAAAATATATATTTCTAAAAAAGGTGTAAATGAAAATAAATACATATAAGTTGGAGTAGAAAAGCGACGCTACGCTTTCATCTCATACTTAATTGCAGTTGCTTCGCGCACAACTAGAAAAACCTATCATTCTAATTCGTAAAGTTGCTATATAATGACAATCAATTTTCCTGTTGAAATTTTCGAGATTCAATGAATTTTCACTATGTAACACTTCTGGTGCACAAATTGCACCAGCTGAGAGGCCGAGCAGAGAGAGTAAATTAAAACGTGATAAAGTCAAAGAATAAACGTTGGACACAAACGACGCTTGACAACCGTCAACCGTCGCCAGATACGGCCAGAGAACTCTTAATCTCAAAGTCGAGGGCAGAGCAAAGAATTAAAGTTTTGCAGTGCTATATAGATTTAGATTTATTTAGTGAAATAAACAGTAAAAACTGTATGTGACTTAGGGAGGAAAAGATTATCTGCACACGTTTTCTGCGCACGATTTCCAGAATCCCTTCCCATTATTTTAACTCTAAATAGTTGAAAGATGAGTAAAAGTTTAACATAAATAAATAAAAATAAATTTTAAAAATCGCAAGATTAGCAATATTTGAAAAATAGTCATATAATGTACATCATACAGAGGTATTAAAAACTGTGGTCTCCATCGTTGCTTTTAAATGTTGTACAATCGACATTAAATGAAATATTACTGTGAAAATTGCCCCCAATTGTATTATCCGATTCCCGAACACCAAAACATTGTGAAATATATTTTCTTGGTTGGGTTAATCTCAAGTGAACTCCATTACAATTAGGCATCTCCCTTGTTATTAAGTGGTGTTGGAGCGAATCCCTTATCGTACCCCCACCTAAAGGAATGGACTCACTACACCGAGAAAACGAAATAGTCTGTAACCCAGCATCACTGGTTTTGTCAATGCTAGCGAAAAGTCTCCGACATTCGGTCTACGCAATTAACAATCTTGAATTTGTGTTACTCATTATTTCCCGCACAATTCAGAGAGTAGGAGCCAATATTTCTTCAGTTCAGCTCCAAATTCTACACCGTGCTCCGATCTGTGTACGGCCAAGGAGTAGATTCGTTCGGAAGGAGGAATTAAGGGATAAGACCCGCCAATTTCATAAAGTTTAATTTGATATTTTTACACGAATTTATTAGTGATTAAGTACAAAATAGAATTATAATCTCTGTAGGGTACTAAAAAATGCTTTAATCCTCTAAAAAATGTACAATATGACTGAAATATTATCAACTTTGTACTTATAAAGATTCAGCTCATTATATTAAGATTACAATGTGTCAATTATATTTGATAACTTTAATTTGTTTAAAGAATTTTATCTACTTCTTTACTGTAGTGTTATAAATATTTGCAAACAGAAGAAAATTTTTCAAATGCTGCTCACAGTTTGACAATAGTTTAATAATAGCTTGACATCCTTTTTCCTCTCACCCAGCCAACACAAAGAATTTTATACGTCATAATAGATGCAGGAATTTACTAAATATAGGAACACGATTTATCCACATTTTTGGTACCAGGGCCCCACAATATGACTGTTTCTTAAAAAAAAACAAAAAAAAACGCAGAGTTTTGCCGCAGCATTACAATACTTTACAGGCAGGCGCGGGTTCATGAGGGGGGGGGAGGGAGGGAAATCCCCCCTCCAATTTTTGTTTTTTCAGTAACTATTAATTTTAACTTATCACGAAACTTGCAACTAATGGTGCAAACACAGCACGTACTTTCTCACGCATTATTCACGCAAAATTACGCACATAGTACTCACATTTTTCAAAATTTTCAAATTTTCGAAAAGGAAGGAACCAACATGAGACCTACACTATTATCTTAAACGTCCTTCAGACTATCCACCAACATTTCATCAAAAATCGTTGAGCTGCTTTTGAGAACACTAACGGTGCTACAATAGTATATGCTTTCTCGCCCCTTAGTAACAGTTATGTAATAATATTTTACCGCAATTCCTTTTCGAAAAAATCGAGTAATATCCGAAAATGAGACTAGCGCCATATTTTTTACTTTTCCTTATTACATATATGCAGAAAATTTAAAGAAAACATTTGGAGAGGTCTTTGAGAAAATGATTTTATGTAAATTTCAATCGCAAAATACGCAAATACAACACGTTTATTCAAAAACTTGTACCTGACCTTTTTTGAAGAGCTAATTTTGTACAACAGACTGTCTAAGACAAAAATCTTTAACTTCAATTTTGTAGTTTTAATTTTGAATATTTTTTTTAAAAAAAGCAATATCCGAAAATATGACTACCACCATATTTTTTATCGTCTCTTGTTATATAAGTGAAGGACATTTTTAAAAAACATTTAGAACGGTTTTTGAGAATTTTTTTGTAAATTTCAATTCCAAAATACGCAAAAAAATAGACTTTGTCTAACACAAAAATCTATCTCCAATTCTGAAGTTTTATTTTTTTTTTAATTTTAGAAAAATTTTGGATGTCAACGAAAGTGAGACCTGCAACATTCTCTTAAACGTCTTTTGCCAACAACAAAATTTAATCAAAAAATTTGGAGGCATTTTTTGGAAATTTTGAACATGTCTCAGGGGATTCGTGTAAAATAGCCCCCAGATTTAAATATCAGGGGCGGCGACATCAGATAAAACGATTGGGGAGTATCAGTTTTGGACAAAATCGGCTGAATGGTTTATGCGCCAACGTTGTGCACAGACGGACGGACAGACAAACGTTTTGCCGTGAATCGATTTTTCGGTATCAAGGACCCACATAACATTGATTCTGGCAACACCACGTCTTAGAGGAATTTGTTTCCATATTTAGCAACTGGATTTATCCACTTTTTCCTTACCAGGGGCCGCTACATCAGCTAGAACGATTGGGGAGTATCAGCTTTGGAGAAAATCGGCTGAACGGTTTATGCGCCAGCGTTATGCACAGACGGACGGACAGACAGACGTTTTGCTTTCAATCGATTTTTCCGTATCAAGGACCCACATAACATTGATTCTGGCTACACAACGTGTTAGAGGAATTTGTTTCTATATTTATCAACTGGATTTATCCACTTTTTCCTTACTAGGGCCCGGCAATAAGAGTTTTTGTGTCGAAAATTTGCCGTTTTCCGGCATACAATTGCAATACTTTCTCTTCTTACGTTAGTAAGTGCGAGAAAGTAAAAATTGAAGAAAATTAAAAATTGCCTGTGTTTCACACAAAATTACGCGGAAAATATACAATTTTTCGAAAAATTGTAAATGACCTTATTTCAAAAGCTAACTTTAGGGAACAGATTCCATTAATGGAAAACATCTCTATGTTTAATATTATAGTGGCAGGAAGACACCGAAAAAATTTTGAATTTTTGCAATTTTCCAAAGATTAGGGTTTTCAACGAACATGAGATCTGCACCATTCTTTTACACGCTCTTTACAGAATCGAACAAAAAAATGATGGAGTCATGTTTTTGAAAATTTGAATAGTGTCCCACGTGCTTGATGTAAATTATCCCCCAAAATTAAAATATCAATTTCAAAGTAAAGGGGCTACGACATCAGCCAAATTGATCGGAGAATATCAATTTTGGAGAAAATCGGCTGAACGGTTTAGCCGCTAGTGTTGTTTGCAGGCGGCCAGACAGACGTTTTGCCACCATTCGATTTTTCTGTGTCAAGGACCTACAAAACATGGATTCTGGCTACACCACGTATTAGAGGATTCTTTTTTTTTTCGAAATTTAGCAACTGAATTTATCCACTCTTTCGTTGCTAGGGCCCTGTAATAAAAACGTTTCTCCTGAAACTTGGCCATTTTTTTCGCGATGCATTACACAACCTTCTCTCTACTCCGTAATTTTTTTTCGGATAACCAATAAAAAGAATAAAATCATATCACAGCATGAGCTGAGTTTATCCTGCGGGATTGTACATAACCTGTAATATGACACAGTCGACCAATCATTTTGAATGAAAAACTATCTTAATTTACCGACCACGCTCGACTCACAGTCGCACATTTATGTAGCATCCCTGGAATGGGGAAATAGAATAACGAAGGGGCGGATTTTAAAGACCTAAAACATTGCCAAAAATGATCAATAAAATTATCTTAAAATGTTTTTAAAATGCCCTAAGACCAAAGAAAATGACGTAAAATTGGATGACAAAACAAATTCAGATGCGTAACTGAGACTGTTGGATGTGTTAGTGACGTAATCGCAGTGGTGGATGGATCGAGGGGGGGGGACATGCCCCTCAAAGGCCTAGTGAAAAAAATTAAAATGGTAAATGTGTAGGAAACGTAAAATTGAGAAACACAAGACAAAATATAGAAACGTCTTAAATTGTTCGAAAAAATAACCGAGCGTAGTCTCCTTAGCCTTTTAGTTACGAATGAGAATCCTGATTCTCGCTGTATTTTAACCCAGTGGTGCGTATGGAAAATGGCTTCGACTGTTCTCCAGAGGCACGTGACAGCTCATATTCTCTTTCTACTCCGCTTGACCATAGGCGTGACAAGCGGTGGTACGGCGACTTCCACGTATTGGAGGGTGGCCAATACAACCGGAAACATTGTTGAATGAGTTACGTCACTCAATAGATGCCAAGCGACTGATCGTGAGCAGCTGTGACTTTTCGCGCAATTACAGTGTGCCCAAAACAAAAGAGTAGGGTATGGACCGCTTACATACGCCTGACGAAAGCGCTTACATACTCCTGAAGAGGTTAATAAGTACTTAAGAAGAGAAAAGAAATATCTAAAAAGAATATAATGAAAACAGAAGGAAATCTAAGAAAAAGAAAAAGTATATGAGGCTTGAAACATATGTTGTTAAATCCTGTCGACGTTCTTCAATCCTGGACAGTAATGTTTCTATGTAAGGGAATGTTTAATTTGTAAATCGATATCATACGTTTTTATTTTAATTCTGTCCGTTGACATCTATATCATAGAATGAAAAATATAATACTTTAATCCTTAGGCGTTTTGCAGTATTGAATACGACGATTTTAATGATAAATTATGATTACTTTTAATTTAAAACTATAAAGTATTCATTAAATATTAAACTTAAAATTTAATTTTGTTAAATCATTTTATGATAAAAAATCTAGTTTATAATTAATTTGATCTTTGTGCTTTTAATATATATATATATATATATATATATATATATATATATATATATATATATATATATATATATATATATATATATACACACATATAGACATATATAAACACACATACAGACACATACAAATTCCGCTTTCCCAACATTTGTCTCTGGATCCGCGCCTGGTTAAGACGAGAAAGTAAAATTAGTTCCACAAGGGTGAAAACTGACTTCCCCAATGTCGTCAAGGACGCACAAACCAGAGAAGTGAAAGGCATCCAGGAAGAGGCGCTCTCGCACGTTTCCGAAGCTTAAGAAGAGATTACGATCAATGTTGTGAAACACAAAGTTCGAAAAAGTAGAATGCGTTCTTTCAATTTGGTTGAAATGTTCTGTAAATGGCGTAACAAAAGAGCAGGGACTACTTTCTATTTTTCTTCACGACAGTGTGAAATAAAATATATTATTAGGGATAGATGTTCCCCGCCCTATGAATGCGGGCTGAGTATTATTTATCGTTTATGTTAAATAGTAAAATACGTATGCCAAAATGCAAATAACATTTCAAAGCGACACAATATGTAAGATACAGTTTTTTTGTCACTTATTTTTCGATGACCTTTCAATACATTTGTGTAACTTTCAACTTGAAGAATTAGATAGCGAATGTGGTAGTTCACGAATAAACCTTTGACAGACGCGCTTTAGTTTCTAGTGAAGACGGTCGCGTATGTTCGAAACCAGATGAGTAGTAACGTTCGATCAGTACCGCAAACAACAGCTCTCATGATTGTTTCTGTGACTTCTTTCGATCAATTCGAGTGGACGTTGGAACAGAAACGTAAAAACGGGCATGGACCGCGCGCGATCTTTCTTTCTTCCGACTCGGAGCCAGCGTTGCTTCTGTCTTATTTGTTTGTATGAATTTTTGCCCATTAAAAAAAGAAATAACCGGGATAAATGTATGGGGAAGCTGAGAACGAATCGCTTACATTTAGTGCACGACAAAAAGGGTCGTCCACACGAAAATAACTACAGGCACGACATATGTACTTCTCCCCATATATTTTTCAAGTTTCTGACGAACAACAGTTACTAATAAAATTAATCATTAATACATAATAGATAATAATAATAATTAATAATAATAATAATAATGATAATAATAATATCGAAAAACAATAACCTCACTATTTATTCTGAGTATGAAGGAAAACGAAAAAATATCGAGAGATCCTAGACCGACCGGGAGATTCTAGAGTTCGAGTTCTGACGGTAGCGGATTTTCGACACTAGCTAAGTAGCTTAATTGAATACAGCCGCTGTCTGGAGGAGAATTATTTCAGCGGCTGGTTCTTTTGATCCAAAGTTTCCCGTGGTTTCTCGAATCAATGCCGGACGAATGGCGAAGCTGTGTACTAAGAGAGGGGCCGTGGACCGCGTGAGATCTTTCCATCCTCATCTTTGTCCTATCATTTTTCGTTACACTCACTACATTACCACACATGTTAGGTAGCCAGTCGAAAGCTTAGGACTGTGATCGTCTGTGTTGAACTTTCAGTATATGGTTTTTTTAATTTATTCTTTAGGATGTTGAATAGTTACCTCACACATTTCTAGTTAAAACTACTTTCCTTAATAGAATAATTAAAGACCATCTTCTCCCTGCTCTTAGAAATTATTTACATTGAATATACACAAATGCAGGGAGTAGTTTCAGCTAACGGTAGAGAACTTTAAAAGATTATAGTTACATTTGAGTGATTATGAGACACACCAAATTAGATTAAAATGTGCCTTTCTCTACAACTCATTTTTGTCTTCTACGCAATACGTCAAAGGTAAGTATTTTAGATTATTTTCAATATTCCTGATACATGACCCGACAGTGTGAAAGGAAACACTGCCTTCGGCTTTATGGCAAAAAAGTACAACAAAAGACAACCAACCAACCAACCAAACAACTGTCTCTATTGTTAGAAAATTCTGAAGAGGTTGTGTCTGATCTCGACTTTAGTAGTGATGGATCTGTAGCTGATGGCAATTAAGTAGTAAGCAAAGATGCAGAAAATTCAGATGTTGGAAACAATAACATAGGCCAGACTTCGTCGATAGCGTACAACGTAGGTTACTTTATAATATTTTTATTGAAAATGTGACATTTTTAACAAAAATTCTTGAAAGTAAATTTTGTTTACATGTCCAAAAAATGTCAGTGGGACACATGAGTCCCACCAAAGAATACCAATGGGACACGCGTCCCAGCTGTCCCAGCGCCGCATCGAACCCGATATTGTGCTAATCTTGCAGCTACCAAGTAAAAATATGCTACTGAATATACAAAGAAAATAAACATTCCAATAAAAATTAAAATTTGCAGTGAAGGAGTTAAAAATTAATAATATAAAATACTGATAATTTGATATATCGCTTTTAAAATAAGTCTCATTGAAATAGCTGTAATTTGCGATCATGACCATCTCGATATTTTTTCGTTTTCCTTCATACTCAGAATAAATAGTGAGGTTATTGTTTTTCGATATTATTATTATTATTATTATTATTATTATTATTATTATTATTATTATTATTATTATTATTATTATTTAACTGTTGTCGTCAGAAACATTGAAAATATATGGGGAGAAGTACAATATGTGCCTGTAGTTATTTTCGTGTGGACGATCCCTTTTTGTGCACTAAATGTACGTTTGTTCTCCCTTCCCACCAAACATTACACGGTTATTTCCTTTTTTTGGCGCAAAAAATTAACAAATAAATTAATAAATTTGTAAATGAAAATTTAATATTTGACTTACATTCTGATTACGTAATCAAATTCTTGACCAATCGATCTTGTTCAAGAAATAATACGTATGAGGAAATAGTTTTGTTGAATTAAAATTAAGATTGTGAAATTAACGTCAATATTAATATTAACGTTTATTTTGAATTAAACCATTATTAGTAAAGGAGTGGATGTAGTTGTTCCGGGGCTCAAGAAAACGTGCGGGAATAATGCTCGTTTTCTTACGCACGTGAATAGATGTATGGACCAGCTGAATGGTCTCAAAAATTGCTTCAATGGCTTCGTGAATTGTGAACAAAAATTATGAAATAAATACACAACACGGAAAAACTATATTTTATGATCTTATTATTCTCATATTTAATTCCTGTACATAATTACTGGCTTGTAAATGAACAGTACAACACCCTGCAGCAACTTGTAACCATCCAGACACAATGTGTAAAAAATCATTATCATGTCATCGATTCATCGTTGTATCATCGGAACTTCAATGGCATCATTATCGGCACATCATTGTGGTAATTCGTTTGACAGGCTTAAATTACTTAGCATTCGTCCTTAATTTAAGCATTTTTTGATAATACAAGGAATTCAAATGATTAATACTAGACGAGTAAGATCGAATTGAAGAACAGTTTTCACCACGGTAGCGATATTTTCCGCCTACATGAGAGTCGAAAAGTTTGCTGGTAGGAGAAAAGCGCATTTTGACTTTCTACCGCATTTTATTATTATTATTATTTATTTATAGTGAAGATAACGTATTGGAAAGCTGCGGAAAAAATGGACTATTTTTCTACAGAATAACTTGTGTTATATGACCATGGTATCAAAAAATATTTATCCTATTGTAGTAAATTATTTCATTTAACATGATGTGCTGTCAGAATTCACGTTTTATGGGTTCTTCGTACCAAAAATTTGGTTGACGGAGAAGTGTGTCTGTCCGCCAGTCCTACGCCCGTCTGTCAGTGGTGAAAGCTGGCGCCTAACCATTTCGACGAATTTCTCCAAACTTGATATCCCCTGATCGATTCGGACTCGAAGTCCTGTCAGTTTGTCACCACAACAATATTTTCAAAATAAAAACAAAGCGGCTCCAACTTCTTTTTATTACATTTTGCCCACGGATAGCGTAAACGATGTAAAGGGCAAATGTATTCTTCAAAGACCGATCTTCAAATAAGATCTTATATATTTTTCGACAATGCGAGAAGTTTGTTCCTAATTTTGCATGAAATATAGGCACTGGCGCACCCAAGGGACTTTGCCCACCCCCCAAATGACAATTAGATATATTAAAAAATATAACGTTTATAATTGTCTATGATATAAAGATTAACTACAAGTTAACAAACAAAATACATTTTATATTAGTACAAATGAGAAATTGATTGAAAAGAAAACATGAAATCGACTGGACATCTAATACTTGTAGCCCGCCTCCGCAATAAATTAATCATTCATTTTAAAATTAGTTTTAAATATACACGTGTATACATTGATATTCAAAACGATATAAACATTGTAAACCAATGTTATATTCACATTATTTAAAAAGGAGTCTAAATATAGATAATATAAACAAATTTCGAATAAATTACATGAGCGAGAAACGCTTAAAGACGCATTAAGAATATGTCAAATTCTTAGTCGTCTTTAAGCATTTCTCGCACATGTAATTTATTTAGATGAAACAAGAATATCGCACTTACGTTCAAAATTCCCCACTGCACTTTCACTATTCACTTCAAGTAGGGCACACTTCACCCACTGAACACACCACTCCTTCACCTTGATGGCAACTGTAGCAGCACGCTGCCGGCGTGCCTGGGCGAAGTAGGAGAACTGAGAACTTTTCACTCGGGCACTGACGTTTCCCGGCTTGCGACAGTATTTCCTGAAAGACGCGGCAGGACCCCTGTCCGCCCGAAAGGCGTTACTCAGCTTTATCATCACGACCAGGTAGTCGACCGTTAGAAAGAAGAGACCGGTCCTCTGTAAGATAACGACGATGTTTGCTTTCGATGGATTGCAGAGGCATTGCAAAATGCTCTTTCTTTTTAATAACGTCCGATTTTTTTTTTTTTGAATGGATAAGTGGGGTCTTGTAAATATATCTCTTGCCGTAGGCAGTTGTGGATTATCCCAAAACGTTTCTTTATCTCTATTTTGGTCCATGCAGCTCGCCAACTGCATCCGGACTCTCAGACGCTTGTCACCGATTTTCTAAGGGTGTCAGCCACAGGAGCCATTCCATGTAACATCACAAAAACTGAGTAAAATTTGGCCTTCATTTTTTTAATTTTTTCCCTGTTTATTTTGTGGGTCATATAAATTAACACGTATATTTTTTTTTCCAAAATGGGATTTCACTAATTGTAATGTAAATTATAATTATATCTACTTATTAGGCTGCAGCAACAGGCGCGACTCGCATTACTACTGGCTCTTAGTGTTCGTTATCCAAAGTTTCTTAACGGACAATACCTCTTCAGGGTCAATAAAATGAGTGAGCATTTAGTGTTTATAGGCACGACAACTACAAATGATCATCATTCCCGTAAATGTAGAGCATGTTATAATTCTGGACGTGACCGCGTTCCTCCCCCACTGAAAATTGAGTTCCGACGGAAGAGCAACGGCGCCAATATGTACGACGATTGGCGGGGTATTCATCCAGTAGGAATCTCCTTCACACCACTCGGGATCAGCTCTAAGATCCCGATTGCCATCTTGATATGGCAGTGAGGTGCATGTAAGTGTAAATGTGAGCGTGTATGGGTGTATATGAGAGAGGAGGCGCTCGCACGCGGTCCATGCCACGCTTGTTTTGCATTCACCTGGAATTGATCGATTGGTTGGTTGGTTAGTTGTTAGTGATTCCGGGGGCGTTAACTACTGAGATCATTATTCCCGCAAGGGTATTGTATTTTTTTTCCTCGGGAGGTGGGGGTGATCTTTCCCTGATGGATTATCCATCGATTGTGGCGGACCTTTTCTGGGGCCTTTCAGTTGGTTTTACAGCCGTAAATATACTTGAAATACGATTTATGGAGTATAGGCCCCACAAATAGTGATATAAGTGACACGATTTGATGGTAAAGATTAACGAATAGCAGAGGGAGAAAAAAATTAGATCATATTTTTAGGAAGCTATAAATTTGCCTACAGATAGACGAGTTTGTGGGATAGAGAAAAATGTACAAACTATATTACCAAGTTAATATGTGGTGCCATGAATTAATATTATCAATAATTTCTAAATTAGTATTCTCCTATTTTTGTACAACTTATTAACGGATGCGTATTAGGATCTCTTTTTAGTAAATGCATCTTTCACACTCACACATATCAAGAATTAAATTTTCTTTTAACTTAAGAATGGTAATAAACATATAAAATTCATTAAGAATTAAATAAATGGTTACGTACATGTTGAGAGAACAATATTGAAATAGGTGAGCTGGAGGAGTTTTGAATCCGTATAAACTTATACGATAACTTTAGCCACAAAACAATATTTAATTATTACGGGAATGAAATCTGGCATCAGATAAAATGGGAGAAATTCTACATAAATGTAGCTCGTATTCTCTGAGCATAAAATGCACACAGTCCATGAGTGCTTAACCAGCATGTCAAGGAAAAAGGGCCACCATTGACCCGGCGCATGCGCATTCTGCTTACTGCTTATGTTGCTTTTTGTTAGTTTACTTTCTCGTATGCGTACATATTATTTTATGCGAATCTTTTCTTGTGCTTCTTTTCTGTTTTCTTTTATCCAAAAACTAAAATAAACACATGAACTATTTTATTGTATACTTTAAAATATATTATTTAATATAAAACATAATGCATTAATACAAATCGACCTAAACTATGTTATTATTATTTTTTAAATAATAATTGCAAATTTAGAAATAAAACGAGAAAACATGTGCTGTTGTAGCACCACTAGTTCAATAGTCATGCCATCTTTCGGTCATATACTTAGGGTTAGGCTATTTAAACTTGCTTAAAATTAAAATGCATATCATATAACTTTTATATTACCAAAGTTTCAAGAAATAGTAATTATTATTTTTTTTCGTGAATAAGAGGACGAATTCTTCGGAGAGGGAGAGGAATTCATCGCTTGCGCGTCACTTTTTACCTAGATATACCTATTAGAGTTATAAAAAAAGTCTTAAGGCTATTATTGTTGACCATGCTAATTTTCTTCATATATCTTTTGATCCCTTATTTTCTAAATATACGAGTATCGTATGCGCGTCTATTATGAATCTAGTAGCACTAGTTCGTTCGAACGTTCTTCATATTTTAATTTAATTTAATATATTTTCATTCATTTTGTTTATCTACTCTCGAAATATTATATATCCTGCATCTAGAAACTATTTTCTTGACGTCTAAAATTAATTTTCATAATATCTGTCTTGATCATTAAAACGTCCGTTTCTTTCCTTGAACGAGCCTACTATTTCCGTTCTCGTCACCGCCCACCGCATACCAGTCTCTGGCGTAAAACGTCATCAGTCCACTTGGGTTTTAAACTTGTGCGGAAATGTGAAAGTTACAAAGCGAAAGGCAGATTGTGGGATGAGAGAATGCGCACTCTCCTAAAACGTTTTTCGCAGGGTTGCCTCAGTGTCGTCTGGCGACGCTCGTTATGCAACGTTTTACCCTTCAACAAAAAGCCTTACATTCTCCACTTTTACATTCTCTTTACGTTCTTTTTTAAATGATTACATAGCATTATAATAATCCTACTGGTGAAGTAGCTGTCGATCCGGGTTGCTGAGATCGCTAAGGCAGAATTGCCAAGGATCGTTAACGCCTCGGGCATGGTGGTGTGTCGTGATTGTGTGTGTTGTATATGTTGTCTTGTGTGTCCCCTGTGGTAGGGGTCAGGAAGGGCATCCGGCCGTAAAATTATCGTCAAATCAGTAGAAAAATGGAGTGTGAGGAAAATTTAAAAAAATGCGCCCACCCCATCATCGCCGACCCCTTAGAAACGGGAAAAGAAAAGGATGGAGAAAACAAACAAAAACTAGTTAAGTAGCAATGTTTTCGGGTGCCCAGGTGTAGGAGAACCTAACGAGATCCTAACTGTGAGTGTCACACGTAGGATCAGGACATTAAAAAAACAATTTACGTATTTCTTACTTTATTAAGTTATAATGTATGCAGGTATCGATCAAATTAGGAAAATGGTAGAAAATATTGCAATTTCATATACGAAACAAAAATAAATATTAAGGGCAATTAAAAAAATGTCGAATCTTCAAAATTCTATAAATGAATCACTCCACGTTAAATCGCACACTCATAAAACATCAGTATTTTTAGAGGCTTCACCCTATTTTACGATATTGGCGGTTAAAAGTATGTGATTTTTTTCTTCTTTTTTCTTTAATCCCTCTTCTTTCAGAAATATTACCAATTATTTATTTCGGACGTACACTAAATGCGCAAATGTTTAAATATTTTTCACGGATCTACCGTTTCCTACTGAAAATTCAACTTCACTTAAATTAAACCTACAAAGATATACTTTTATATCATGAAAATATATTTTTTGTAAACATATTATTTAAGTATTTAGAAGAAAATAAAATACAAATTTTCAAATTAGGACGCCACTTAAATGAATTTGAAACAATTGTTCTTGTATTTCTACACTAAAGTTCTATCTACCAAATTTCAAAATGGGACACAAAGAAATAACATTAAAAAATAGTTTGTTGACCGGAGCGCTGGGCCTTCCGCCCTACCGTCTGGCTCGCAATTGTTGGTGTAAAGTCTAAATCGCAAAACGACTGAAAAGGACGCAAATGGAAGGGTTCTGACAAACCTGTACTCTTGAGTTTATTTATAAATGTTATTGCTGAGGGTTACATCTTAAACAGGGTGCAGCTTTCTTTCTCACCTTTCTTTCTTCTTCCCGAGTCACTTGTGTAAACAGAAGAATCCGAGCAACACGTGCGTTGTTCTGTGAAGTTAGTGACAATGAATAGCCTTACAAAAATATCCATACTGTATTAATTTTCACCATCTTAATAGAAAAATCCAAAATTACAGAAGAGGTGTACGTCAATGTAGATACAACTAGCATTACTGAAAAGATGAAAATCGACTGTTTACAGTTGTTAATAAAAGTGTAATATGTAATGGTAAATAAAAATGTAATATGTATTTTTTTTAATTCCAAACTTTTCTCGTGACGACGCAAGTAAAGTTTTTACACGAAAGTAATAATCCTCCAAACTTGTGAATGCCGCAATTTTTTGTATCGGTGACAGTGATGAATAAATCTGCATTTCGATCAGGTTTTGCTCAGTTTCCCAGATCCACTGAACAAATGCTGATATGGCCCCTTGTTTTGCTTCTGGACGTAAATGTAGCTTCACTATGCGCACGTTTTGTTGAACTCTCCTTTGGCTTGTGGTGGTAGGAGGTAAGAGAGAGTTACTATTTTGTTAGCAATGCAGAAAATCAAATCTGCAGTTCGTTTGCCGTAGCGAAATTGTTTGCTATAACTCTGGAACGAAAATGTCTAGTTTTTCAAATCTTGCTAATCTCGCACTTTTTAATTTTATTTTTATTTATTTTTAACTTTTACTCATCTTTCAACTATAGGAAGGGATTCTGGGACTCAAGAAAACATGCGCAGATTATTACCTTCTCCCTCATACGTCACAAACGTTTTTACTGTATTTTGACTAAATAAATCTAAAATCACGATTGTCCTGGTAGGGTATGATCACCCAAATGTATCACCAGTCAGTAAATTTATGACCCGAGTTAGTTCGTCTTCTGCGATTCCAGGTAGCGTCACGGAAATAATAGATGTGCAAGACTAAACGATGGTGTGATATCTGATGGAGAAATACTAATTCGTCAAAAAAAAAAAAAAAGCAAAAAGTACAGAAAATCAAATGAAGGTATTTTGT